GATGATCTCGGAGGTCCCTTCCAACCAGTGGTTGGATTCTGTGATTCTGTGAAATGTGGTTTCCAGGCAAGCAAAAAAAAATCCACACAAAATACTTTGTTATCAAATGCAAATTTCTATGTCATTCCATCATTCTAGTCCAGCTGCTGCTATACTTATCCTCTGCAAGAAGTGTTGTACTTCACCTTTTTTCCTTCATCCCCCGCCCCCCTCCAGCGTTTTGTGTCCGATGGGAAAAGGCCTCTCACAAGCATTGCTTATTTTCTGTTTTCCTTTCCTGAAGGCTGTCATCCAGCTCCTACAGCAAGGGATCCAAACTACTGAAGTCCTACTGAGATGGGAAAAATCATCGTTTACGAGCATGCCAACTTCCAGGGCTACAGCAAAGAATTCACCAGGGACATTGCCAATCTCAAAGATGTAGATTGGAATGATTGTGTCTCCTCAGTGAAAGTAATTGGCCAGCCTTGGGTGGCTTATGAGCACATCAACTATACAGGCCGGTTCCTGGTACTTGAGGAGGGAGAACACAGCTTTGTTGGTAAGGAGATGAACGATAAGATCTCTTCCCTGCAGCTGATCACTGAAGATCTGCACCATCCCCAGATCACTCTCTACGAACATATCAACTATCAAGGGAAGAGCAGGGTGATCAAAGAACCAACCAACCTGGCTAGGGGACATGACAACGACATCGTATCTTCTCACAAAGTCCAGAGAGGTGCCTGGCTGCTATGCGAACACAGTGATGGAAGTGCAGGGAAAAATTTAGAAAGGCCAAGGCTCAGCTAGAACTTAACCTGGCCTTGGATGTTAAAAACAAGAAAAAGAATTTCTATAAATATATTAATAGCAAGAGGAGGGCTCGGGAGAACCTCCACTCTCTACTGGATATGAGAGGCAATATCGTGACAAAGGATGAGGAGAAGGCTGAGGTACTGAATGCCTTCTTTACCTCAGTCTTTAGCAGTGGAGTTGGGTGTCCCCAGAGTACCCAGACCCCTGAACTAGCAGTTAGGGGCCGGGAGCAGAATGAAGCCCCCGTAATTCTAAGGGAGATGGTGAGGGACTTGCTCCAAAACCTTGACACAAACAAGTCTATGGGCCCAGATGAGATTCACCCGAGGGTACTGAGGGAGCTGGCAGAAGTGCTTGCGGAGCCACTTTCCATCATCTACCAGCAGTCCTGGCAAACTGGGGAGGTACCAGCCTGGCGTCTAGCAAATGTGACACCCATCCACAAGAAGGGTCGGAAGGGTGATCTGGGGAACTACAGGCCTGTCAGTCTGACCTCAGTACCTGGGAAGGTGATAGAACAGATCATCCTGAGTGCCATTATGCAGCGCATGAAGGACACCCAGGTGATCAGGCCCAGGCAGCACGGGTTCACGAGGGGCAGGTCCTGATTGACAAACCTGATCTCCTTCTATGACAGTGACTCGCTTGGTGGATGAAGGAAAGGCTGCGGATGTTATTTACCTAGACTTTAGCAAGGCCTTTGATACCGTCTCCCACAATATTCTTCTGGAGAAACTGGGTGCCCATGGCTTGAACGGGAGGATTCTCCACTGGGTTAAAAACTGGCTGGAGGGCCGGGCCCAGAGAGTGGTGGTGAATGGAGTCAAATCCAGTTGGTGGCCGGTCACGAGTGGTGTCCCACAGGGCTCGGTACTGGGACCCATTCTCTTCAACATCTTTATCAATGATCTGGACAAGGGGATCGAATGCACCCTCAGTAAGTTCGCAGACGACACCAAGTTGGGTGGGAGTGTTGATCTGCTGGAGGGTAGAGAGGCTTTGCAGAGGGATCTGGACAGGCTGGATGGATGGGCTGAGACCAACGGGATGAGGTTTAACAAGGCCAAGTGTCGGGTCCTGCACTTGGGTCACACCAACCCCAGGCAGCGCTACAGGCTGGGGGAAGAATGGCTGGAGAGCTGCCTGGCAGAGAAGGACCTGGGGGTGTTGGTCAACTGTCGGCTGAACATGAGCCAGCAGTGTGCCCAGGTGGCCAAGAAGGCCAA